GCAACTGGACAACCTTGGAATTTGTTGTCGTGATTATTCATATAATGAGGTTTGGCCCATACAAATTACGGGAGTTTTACCGGAAGCGAATGTAGCAAACATATAAAATACACCCAGTGGGATTTTTTTTTTATAGAAAGATTAAAAATATGGGAGAAATACGGGAAAATATTTAAAGGGGATGATAGCGGGATAGAATGGTAAAATACGGGAGAATCCCGGGAAAAACAGGAGGGTTGACAGGTATGGATGTAATAGATTTAATGCGAGTTCGGTTCGGGTCACGACTCGCGGTCTTTATGTCGAACGGGTCTGGTCTGGTACAGAATAAAATTAGTGCTGCTGTTGGATAACGGGTCGAGTGTTCTGTTAAGTACTGCTGGTGCATGTTTACCAAACAGGACCCGGGCAGGACTCTGCTTTAGACTGCTTTGCATCTCTCCGTCAGATAACCTCACGTGCACGATGCACCATTTATGGGTATTTCCCTAAACCACCGGCGCCACACAGCTCATATATTTTTCCGCCAAGGGGTGAGAACGTAATGATTACTAAAACGATTATTTATTTTTGATAATTATTATTTTATTTCAGTTAGTTTTTCAATAACTGTTGTTAGTTTCGTTTTAGTTTTTCAATTATTTTGACGTTTTTATTTTATTTCAGTTTACGAAATTGTTTTTTCATCAATCAGTATTAGTTTTAGTTTTTGTTTAGGAAAATAACCTTGCACAAAACCAGTCATAAGGGTCAAATTATTATTTTTATTTTTTTTTTTTGAGATTTACACCATCTGAAAGCTGCATAAACAAGCTTTCCATTGATGTATGGTTTGTTAGGATATGACAATATTTGGCAGAGATACAACTATTTGAATATCTGGAATCTCAGGGTGCAAAAACATAAAAAAAATTGCGAAAATCGCCTTTAAATTTGCCCAAATGAAGTTCTTAGCAACGCATATTACTAATGATAATTTTTTTATATATTTACGTTAAGAAAATAAGAAGACTGGAGTAATGATGCTGAAAATTCAGCTTTGACGTTAGAAGAATAAATTGCATTTTATATTACAATAGAAAACAGTTATTTTAAATTGGAAAACATTTTCACAGTATTGCAGTTTTTATTATATTTTTGATCAAATAGATGCAGCCTTTGTGAGCAGAAGAGACATTAGTGTATGTATTAAGTGTTTAGTTTCAAATTATATGTGCCAATCAAAAATGGCATTAGCCACATCTTCTGCTTCATTATTAGAGGTTATAGATTATTAATGATCATGATTTATTAATGCATTTTTACAACGAATGAATTACTCCTCGATGGGGAATCAAAACTTATGGAACATGTTATGGTAACACTTGCAGGTCATCTAAAAAAGCTGGCAAGGACGGTGAGAGAAGTTACCAGAAAGAGAAGAAGAAACGACGTCGCATTAAGGTTCAAGACTCGTCGTCCAGTGGCAAGGTACTGTACAGTACAGATCTATTTCAGCAAAATAATACAGTAACCGTTGATATGAAGTGTGCTTGGTTTTTCTGTTCTACAGAGTGGAGGGGAAGATGATGGAGAAGATGAAGGGGATGAGAAAGAAACACCCAAAGGTCGCAAGAAGATCCGCAAGATCCTTAAAGATGACAAACTGCGGACAGAGACCCGGGATGCCCTGAAGGAGGAAGAGGAGAGGAGGAAGCGCATTGCTGAGAGGGAGCGGCTAAGGGAGAAACTGCGAGAGGTACAAACCCAAGATGCAGATGTTTAGGGCTCAGCATAGTGAACTGTTCTGCAGAATCATAGTTGGCATTTTGCAGAGAAAACTCAAAGTTGGTACTCTTTGGTTTCAGACTATTGTGGTGAAGGAGTCATCACAGGTCACATGTCCCATCACCACAAAGCTGGTGCTGGATGAGGACGAGGAGACCAAGGAAGCATTATTGCAGGTTCACAGGAACCTGGTGACCAAACTCAAACCCCATCAGGTGGATGGTGAGTCAGCAGTCGCCACTCCTTTTATGGCTTGCTTTTTTTTTCTTGTTCAGTGCCAGAAAAAAAATGATGCGTCACATTTTTAATACTTTGGATTGAGTAACAGTTCAGTATTTGTGGCTCATAGTATGTCAATGAAAAGGGTTGCCTGAAGTAAATCAATGTTTAAAGTCGTCATCAAATCAAAATGGGTCCAGTTTCGTTCATCATAAAATAACTTTTAAAACTGCTTTTCTTGCTGATGTAACTAAGGCTAATGGGCCAAAAATTACATTAAAATGTCAATAAATAAATCTAAACAAATCTTCATGGCTCTTTTACCCAGAAATGGATGTTTGATGATGATTTGTTCTTTTGTTGTTTTTTCTTTCTCATTTTTCATGCATTTTTTTTAGGTCATCATAGCCATGTCCTTTTCTAAATAGAGGACACATGGAAGAACACAGACGCTAAGTGATGGTTTTGTGTTTTTTTCTGTTTGCAGGAGTGCAGTTCATGTGGGACTGCTGCTGTGAGTCAGTGAAGAAGGTGGAGAAGTCTTATGGCTCTGGCTGTATTCTGGCCCACTGCATGGGGCTGGGAAAAACTCTCCAGGTAACTGGAATAAATGATAACAATAATGATATGTGACCCTGGACCACAAAACCAGTCATAAGTCGCTGGGGTAGGCGATTTTCTTAATATTTTTATATTCCGATTCCAGATGCATCTGATTCCAGATCCTAACAAACCATACATCAATGGAAAGCTCATTTATTCAGCTTTCAGATGATGTATAAATCTCAATTTAGAAAAATTGACCCTTATGACTGGTTTTGTGGTCCAAGGTCACACACATATATACATATACAGTATCTCACAGAAGTGAGTACACCCCTCACATTTTTGTAAATATTTTATTATATCTGTGAGTTTGAAAAGTGGCAAGAAGGCCTGAAGGATGAGGAGAGTTTAGAGGTAGAGATTTGGTATTGTATCACGTAGATCTTCCCATTACACATTACCATCATTAATTATTCACAAGGGTCCATTTGAAACTAATGAAGTAAAAAATAAGTACACATTTATTTTGAAGTGACCATATTGTATGTAATGTGTGTCGAGAATTTAAATGGGGAAAAAAGTTTTAATTAAGGAGTTTTTGTTGGTGCACCTTTAAGATATGTATATGTAAATGAACTGTTGTGATTGGCTATCCTCAGCATTTTATGGTGTGTCATGTGCACATTCCTAATTTAATTAGAAATTAAATAAACCTGTTTAACAAATGCAAGTGTTGGTACTTTCCTCTTAATACATATTTTGCCACTTGTCCAGTAAAAAGAAACCAGCTGAGAACCACAGGTTCAATGATCAGTTACAGGAGTTAGTTGTTGACATTTAATCTCACTGTATGTCGGTGTCTTTTCCCTCGTGTTTCAGGTGACAGAGCTGGCCACAGTGAAGAGACCTCAGGAGAGAGCGTACGCTTTACAGCGCTGGCAGGAGGATGGCGGCGTTATGATTATAGGCTATGAGATGTACCGCAACCTCACGCAAGGACGAAACATCAAGAGCAAGAAGCTGAAAGAAGTCTTTCAGAAAACTCTAGTTGATCCAGGTGAAGTTACTGCATTAGCAAAGCGCTTCCACTCAAAACTGTCATGGAGAAGTCATGAAAAACTTATCATATATATATGCAGTATCTCATAGAAGTGAGTACACCCCTCACATTTTTGTAAATATTTTATTATATCTTTTCATGTGACAACACTGAAGAAATGACACTTTGCTACAATGTAAAGTAGTGAGTGTACAGCTTGTATAACAGTGTAAATTTGCTGTTCCCTCAAAATAACTCAACACACAGCCATTAATGTCTAAACCGCTGGCCACAAAAGTGAGTACACCCCTAAGTGAAAATGTCCAAATTAGGCCCAATTAGATTATCAAAATTTACATTGAATGATGTTTATACCAGTGTTTCCCAACCGGGTGCCGTCTGTCGAGAGCAGGGGTGCAGTGTAAAAAAATTTTAATATTTAAAATTTAAAATATTTTTTATTAACTTTTTAAATATTTTTAAATTGCTAAAATGTTCAAAAAAAGCATCTATTATATAATATCCATTTCTGATGTCGCCAATAATTAGAGATGCACCGAAATTTCAGCTGCCGAAAATTAGTTCACCGCTCAGGATTCACTTTCACGTGGTGTGACGCTCTGCGTATTATCCCGCTCTATGTGTGTGTGCTCCGCTCAGTCGCTCCACTCGTATACCGTTTATGTGAATCGGAACAGCAAAGTCCTCAAAAATTGAGCCGACAGGAAACATCGATGTCATACAGTATTGTTTCTGTCTGCAATAGCTCTACTGTGTTGTAACATGGGGTGGTATATGGGCAACTCTGGTAACGCTGCTCGGGCTACTGCACCAAAATTACCCCACTGTAAAATAAAAAAAACACTAAGTGAGCAAAAATTTGTGAGATAGCTAGTTATAATGGTAATTAAATAATGTTTACCATTGTTTGATGCAACTGCATTTTTATATGAAAATAAACAAGCTAAAAACACTCGTAACTGAAAAACTTTTAGTGCTTTTCTATAGTATTAAGCCTTAAATGTCAACTATACAGAAAAGGTTTACCTTTAAAGGTTTCTTCTTTAAATTATAAAAAAGTAAAAATATGAATGGTATTATAATGTTATATTAAAATTAAAATAATGGGAAAAACCCTTAAGATAAGCTGTAGAAAGAAAAAAACGCATCTTAAGCACGCAGAATAAGAAGTAAACTTTGAACGATTAATTGCTGCTTTGAACGATTACGTAATTGTGGCATCTAATTTATTGAGATGCACCTGTATATATATAGATTACACAGTAAAATGTTTGATTTGCTAATGATTTTTGTGAAGTAATTCTTAAAATTAGAAAACTATTGTAAATAGGGCTGTTTGATAGGGCATTTTCGAGGGCCCTTTCAACACTGCTTGCAGCTTTAGTTGAAAATGTGTTTGTCAGTAGTACTGTTGTCACGATACCAAAATTTTGACTTCGATGCAATACCTGACTAAAATATCTTGATACTACTACTGAACCGATACCAACACAACAATCTAAAACAACAGGAAAATTTGATTTGTTATTATTTTATTTATCATTTAAAAAAAAAATGAATGGAACCCTCAATTGCCCATCAAACTGGTGAAAGGTGTTCATGTCACAAAATAAATCACACTCATTTGACTTCAGGGCATGAGCTAGGGATGGGAAATATTACTAAAATCTTATTTCACAATATGAGTACTTCTATTTCACAATAACAATTTATATCATGATATAATAATTTTTGTTAATTTATCTTTATTATTAATAATAAGAACATAGATGCATGTAACAAACAAAATGACAAATACAACAAACAACAACACAAATGAAATAAAGTGTTTTTAGGTACAGTAGGTCTATTTAACAGCAGCATTCATGAAAGAGATAATACAGAAATAGAATCATCAAAATGTAAAAGTATAAAACACTGTATAGTCTTCACTCTATGAATTAAACATTCCTACATTGATCCTTATTAAAGCTACTAAAGTTAGTCAGTCAAGATAAGTGAGTGATTTTCTCTTTTTTCTTTTGTTTGATTAATTGATACAGACAGCAGCAGGAATATTATCCTGCTGCCACTTTAAGAGCTGCACGGATCAAATATATTGATACACTTGCGTTCTCTTTCTCAGCTGTTTACATTCACTTGAGTAAAGACGGGAATTTTAACATAATTGTGTGTATTTGACCGTTGAAGCGCAATAACTCTTGAAAGAGATCTGAATTCACGATCACGTGCTGAGAGAGGTGGCTCTCCGTGAGCATGCTTTGAGTGTGTGATTGTGAGTTTTTCGAAGTTAATATCTCTTTATAACATCGAGCACGTCCTGCGCTTTATTTTCTCATTCATGCATGTTTCTTATTCACTCTTGAATTGTCAATAACTTGCGGAAGTCCTTCTCCGCATGGATATATAAAGTTTGTCACGGCCAGTGTGCATACATGGAGTGGAAGCAGAGCGCTGCACACACACACATTGCCCTGATGCTGCACATCGACGCAGCTCAGAAAATACAGCTCTTATTAAAACACCATTATTCTTAAAGTACCGGTACTCGTAAAATGAGGAATCATACCATTTTTGAAAGCAAGGTATAGAGATTTTAGTACAGGTATATCATGCAACGCTAGTCAGAAGCTGTGGGAGCACTTCATGTCAGCACTGCACACATTCAGATGGTGGAAATGAACTGAATGGATAATGTTTTGATGTACAGGTCCAGATTTTGTAATCTGTGATGAGGGTCACGTGCTGAAGAACGAAGCGTCTGCTGTCTCCAAAGCCATGAACTCCATCACAACTCGTCGGCGAGTGGTGCTGACAGGAACGCCACTGCAGAACAACCTGATAGAGTGTGAGTGACCAATATGGTTGTTATTTTTTTGTTTTTTTTGAGGCCAGCAACTTGAGGGTTTTCAACCCAAAAAAAATACAAATCAAACATTTAGGTAGATTACTAGTTATTAAAGCTGCAGTCCGTAACTTTATTTTTTGGTTAAAAATTATCCGAAATCAATATTTGAGCAAGTACATAACCAGCCAGTGTTCGAAACTATCGCCTTACTTTAGCCCGATTCACAACGGTTAGCTTATAATAATGTTTTCTAATTTGAGTGGTACGGGTAGGTTTTCGTGGGAAATTCGAGCATGCTGCTGCGTCATTACGTCACGTCTGTAAACATAAAGAAGTTGTACCGGCTAGTAGGCTATCGCATGTGAGGATCCTGCAGCTGGCGGATCGTTTATAGCCTTTTCTCACAGCGGCTAGAATAATTAAATATATTATTTTGATGGCGGATTGTAATCCATAAAGGATTGTGTTTATGAAATATGTGAATGAAATTTTAATTATATTGCAGTTTTAAATGTGCTTCTGATTACAGATAGCCTGGGATTACACAAGATTTGTATTATAAAGACAGCCGGTTCGAAGGGAGCATAGTTTGCTTTTTGGGTTAAAAGAGGCAAAACTTACGGACTGCAGCTTTAAATACTAAATTATTGCTTTAGGGGTGAAAAAAAAACTAACCTCCAACTAGCTCTAAACAGTCAGTGCTTCTTGACTCCCAGAAATTTCATTGCAGCTAGTCGGTCAGATTTCAATCAGATCTGGAGTAGGGCTGGACAATAATTCAATATCAATATGTATCGCGAGAGTATTATATGTCCATTATGCTTCAGGTAGTCTATGGCAGTTCATGGTTGTGCCATTGAGGTGGAAAACAAATCATTCTGAATGTGGAAAGACTTGAATAAGTGTCATTGTCTCCTCTCAGATCACTGTATGGTGAACTTCATCAAGGAGAATCTGCTGGGATCAGTGAAAGAGTTCAGAAACCGCTTCATCAACCCCATCCAGAACGGCCAGTGCGCTGACTCCACGCTCGTTGATGTCCGAGTCATGAAGAAGCGCGCACACATCCTCTACGAGATGCTGGCAGGATGCGTCCAAGTAAGCCGAATGACCACAGCCACTCAAAGTTTGAATATTGTAGATTTATTTGTCAAGTCATGTGATTTTGCATAATACATATCCATAAATGAGTGATATATTCAGTGCTTGTTTGTGAGTAACAGTCTTGTAAAAATGGTTGTTTTCCGCAGAGAAGAGACTACACTGCCCTTACAAAATTCCTGCCACCAAAACACGAGTATGTGTTAGCGGTACGGTTATCACCTATTCAGTGCAAGCTTTACCGATACTATCTGGATCACTTTACAGGTACAAGTCTACATCACACTACACACTTCTGTTTATTTCACATTTGCTCTTTGTTGTTACAGAAACATTTTCCCTAATTATTTTCATAGTAAACATCTCCGGACTCATCAGTGCAAATAGTAATAATGCTGAACAAACAGAGACCATGTGACCAGTGAAAAGAAAAAAGAAAAAAAAAATGTGATAAAGTGAGATTTTATCAAAACTTGTAAAACTCAGCACAGTTTTACAAGTTTTGATAAAATCTCACTTTACATCAGGTTTCTACTGAATGTTCAGTTTCACTCAGGAATAAATTACATTATTAAGTTATTAAATGCTTTGTCATGTTGAGTTTTAATTGTCAAATGTACATCATACATTCTGTCAACTTAAATCTTGAAATAGGAGTTTGGAGATTTGAGTCTCCTGAGTTGAAACCAGCTTTTTCCCCCTAGCTCTGATTTTTTTCAATTAAGTGGTTTAGTGGTGTTATAGCTCAGGCCGCGATTATTCTGAAGCAGCTCCGCAGCTGGGAGAGTTTGAATGGCAGCTGGCACCAGGCCGCGGGGCGATCTGAACCAATTCCCACATCCTTATCTAATGAAGAGCTTTGGGAGAATTTCCCAGCCAGAGGCTCATTAGGCCAGCTTTCCTCGGAGCTCGCTGCTATGCTACTGCACTGCTGTTGTGACTGTGGGTGCATACCCCCAGAGACCACCAACCAGACACTGTCTTTGCCTTAATGCTTGAGCTTTTGTCCTGGTGGCCTGCTTTACCCAAACCCTGATCCAATTTCATGCTGCATTTAGCTGAACTCACATTCAGCATTTTAGACCGTGTTAAAGCTGCTGTGAGTACTATCCCAGCTATACTGCTATCCTATACTAATTCTATCCCATCTTTGTATGCAGCGATGACTATACTCTGGCCCCATTTGTACCTGGTATTAGGATGAGAAAAATTTAAGTGGTTAGATTATTAATAACATAACATTGATGTTTTTGAAAAAGAGACGTTTAAAAGGGATATGATTGCTTCAAATACTCCAATATTAGTCACTAATGTTTTGCGTCGCCGTGGTCACACTAGACTTTGAGCATGTGCAACATATGATACATCTAAAAAGCAAAAATATGCATTCTTACTTTACTGCAATCCTGCAGATTTAAAGTTGACATTCTTTTAATTCAAGAGGTCAAACCGTGACATATTAATCTACTATTGGTCACAAGTCTTCACATCTTACGAATTCGCAGGTTGGAGTACACCTACCTTGAATTTTGCAGAATGCAGCAACATTTGTATAAGCTTGCATTTCCTGTCTCACGCATTCACATGAGTATAAATGGAAGTCAGTGGAATGTAAAGTGTAGTGTGACCAACGCTTGAGCTGAATTTGAAGAGCGACTGAACAACAGTAAACTAAAGCGGGTTAATTAACCTAACCAAACGCCTCCTTTATGGTATCAATCAGGTACAAAACATAAGCATAATATTACAACTTACATCTGCACAAAAGGATGCAAATGCACAAGTGAACTTGACCATGCTAGTCAAAATGTTTACCTCCCGTTGTAGATGCTCTCTTCGTGTAACAACGCACTTATACACCCACTGAAGTGCCTTGAAACGTACCACATTATTAATGCCAGTAGTGTTTAGTTCATGTTGCAGCCCAGCAAAGCAGCACAGCCAAAGTTTTATAACACAGTAAGTCTAATAGATCCCCCCTTTAGATTTAATATAGAACTGTTACTACTAAAAAAAAGTGATCATTTTCAGGAATACCGTTTGAAAAAGTGTAATATGTGCTAGTACATGGCACTGGGTCGTCTCTTCTCCTCATCATTGCTGTTTATAATGCGGAGGAACTCTAACCATATGCAGTGTTTGATCTCCTCCATTGCGCTTTAAAATACAGAATTCTGTGTAGAATTTAAATGGGTTGGATACATTTTGTGGTTCGTGCCGGCTCTCACATATAATCAATCCACTCTGCGATATTGTGTCTTTGGACCGGAGCACACTATGTGCGCACTGTGGAGATTTGTGTGATGCTGGTGCGAAATTAGACTTTATTCACCCCAATGGAAAGTGTATAAAGAATAAAGACAGCGGACTGCAGACTTCTCTGAAAACACAACCCCGGGGGAATTTACTTGAGGGGAAACTTTGCCTGGAGTCATCGCTTTCTGTGCACGTACAGGACGCCAGACCCCCAAAAAAATGACTAGGGAACCAAATGATGTTCTTTAGTTGCCAAAGAAGCACTTTTGTACATTCTCACAGCTAGACAGTCCATTTAAAGGGATAGTTCACCCAACATGAAAATTCTGTCATCTACTCACCGTCCAAAGATAGTCCAGAAGACTTTCTTTGAAATACAATTGAATATATTTAAAATGAAATCTCAGGAGATTTCTGTCCCTCCATACAAAGAAATTTGACTTTATTCACCCAATGGAAAGTGCAAAATATATAGGGAAAGCAGGGCCTAAAATTAACACTCGCCAAGCGCCAAATGAGAGTAAAAATCAGCGTTGGCGAGTATATGCAACAGTGTCAGTCGCCAGTTCGTACAACTTTTACGAATTATAACAATGCAAGGATGTGAAAACAACAGCCAGTTTTTAAAGAGATTCGCTGTTTCTGACATAAGCAAATAAAATAATATTTTCCGAAGACCAGCTCATCGTGATTAGCTGTTCTGTCATAAGCGAGAAGAGCGAATCAAATAATATGATCCAAACGGACTGATAAGGTCAGAGCAGTGTGATGGCCAGCTTGTCCCTAGACACGCTTCTAATAACTTTTACCGGAGAAGATTTTGCTGCTTCATTTCGGAAGATTAACTTTTCCCTTCTTTATTCTTCATAACCCGAGAATGCGGCAACACATAGGCTACCTAGGGTTACACCGCCTAAACGGTGCAGTCAGTGAAGTATAGTTTGAAAGGTTGCGCGTTCGGCTGTATTCTGAGCCGCTTCAGACAGACACCAGTAGTGCTTCAACGGACGAGAAAACACACAATTATGTCAAAATGCGCAGTTTTGGCGAGTTACCTTGTAAACGTAGTCTTAAATGAGTTATAAAGTCTTAAATGACCGTAAAGAGTTGGGAGAAAATCGGATGTGTGTCAGATCTGCGTCACGTGCATCAGGTTTTAAAGAGACGGCACTGATTTTAAAGTGAAAACTGCTGAAGTCTGTCATTGATGTATATCAAAGAACAAAATAAAAAGAGAAATCCTTGGACTGTTCTAGTTGCTGATTACATTTTTTAGCTTGAATAAAGATTAATATAATATAGTTTATGTGAAGATTGTTTTAAAATCACTTAAAAATTAACTTAAATTAAAAGTTGTTATATATTTCAGAGCCTATTAAATGTAAAAAATAATGGCTTGCGATTAAACTGTAATGTTGAATGGCTATAATTAATAGGTAAAACTGAGGGAAAATGCACCAGCAGGACAAATTAAAAACACTGTAAATATGTTTAGTTATTGTAGTAGTAATAGCTGCCTGTTTTTGCAAAAAGAGTTTCATGGCTGGTAAAAAATATTTTTGGCCGGTAAATTTTATCATGTCACACCGGCCATTAGCAGGTGTGGCAAAAAGTTAGTTTTAGGCCCTGAGTGAAAGAATATAGTGAAATATAGTGCAATATGTACTAGTCGCTATACATAACATAATAAATGTGTGAACAAGTGATCGATTTCAGCCGCAGCTTTAGTGTCTTTTATAGTGTAAGGGCTGGGATGCTTCAGATTCTAGAGAGCATTTGATTGGACAAAAAATCTGATGAGAAGCTGAAGTGCAAATCTGATCTGTATTTATCCATATTGGTGGTAGAGAGACTGTCCATTTTGAATGCATATATTGTCTAAATATGAATTTTGTCATTGTTCTGGAACACTAGCTTATAGATAAACTTAAGACTTACATAATCATACAGTAAAAAAAACAAAACTTAAGTTTTGATTTCAGGGGGACACTGACAGCTAAAGCACAAATAATTTATTTACAATGTTGTGACCATAGTGTTCTCATTATAATGTTATGTGTATGGCCGATTGGCACTGCACATCTTGCACTTCACTGTTTTCCTTATCAACGTGATTCCAGTCACGCAATCATCGCTGTTATGATGGATTATCAGTGTCACTCAGGTACTCGTGCCTATCTCTAGTAGACAGGGTTCAGGCACTGTGCTATATTTAGTATGCTAGTGTTTCTTTTTAAACATAGCCAGTCATTTGTTTGGCAAATCCGCTTGGTGAATTGCAGAAATGGCGCACAGCAGTTTTAAGATGTTTGTAGCAAAGCCTTTCTTGCTAAGGCATGTTTTTTTTTTTTTTCTTTTGGTGGAGTGGAGGATTTTGTTGCTTTGCTTCTCTAAGTATCAGTGTGAAAACGGGCAACGTGAGCCTCTCACAGTCCTAAGAGCTTGTTTACCTGCTCACTTAATCCTCTGGGCTAATCTGAATTCAGGATTTAGGGCGCTGTGGTACGCCGTGCTCTGGCACGCTGGGCTAGAAACCGTGCCAGCGGCGGGCGCTAAACGTCTCCCTCTGAACAGGTGTCGGTTCTGCCTTGGAGAGTGGAAGAGGCCGCGCTGGGACCAAACTCTTCCAGGATTTCCAGATGCTCAGCAGAATCTGGACCCATCCGTGGTGCCTCCAGCTGGACTATATCAGTAAAGAAAACAAGGTGAGGGAATAAAGACAGCGGACTGCAGACTTCTCTGAAAACACAACCCCGGGGGAATTTACTTGAGGGGAAACTTTGCCTGGAGTCATCGCTTTCTGTGCACATACAGGACGCCAGACCCAAAAAAATGACTAGGGAGCCAAATGATGTTCTTTAGTTGCCAAAGAAGCGCTTTTGTACATTCTCAGGTTCACATTATCCCAGGTTTATTATGTTGACCCCTAGAAAACTAGACAATCCATTGGATCATTTAAAGGGATAGTTCACCCAACATGAAAACTCTGTCATCTACTCACCGTCCAAAGATAGTCCAGAAGACTTTCTTTGAAATACAAATGAAGATATTTCAAATGAAATCTCGGGAGATTTCTGTCCCTCCATACAAAGTCCAGTAACCAAAAGTTTAAAGATCCAAAATGGTCATAAATCCATCCTAATCCAAATGAAAAGAGACACAATTGCTTTATATGATTTAAATAAAAGCCTACATTTAATCTATTCATAATGATTGACAAACATACATAGAGCACTTCACATTTGGTACATACACAAACATGTGACGTGCTGTATCTTTGTGTGTATAAAAGCCTATATTAAATCGGTTAGGTTAAATCATATCAAGCTCTTCGCAATACATGCATTAAACCTCTCAAATCATGTGCATTTATTTTACAAAGCTTTTACAACCTTTTTGGATGTTCTACGTTTTGGTTACCTGAATGGTTTCATTAAAAATATCTTGATTTGTGTTGTGAAGATTAACCAAAGTCATATAGGTTTGGAATGACATGAGTTTGAGTAAACAATGACAGAATTTTAATGTTTGGTTGAATTAGCTCTTTAACTGATTACAATTGCAGCTGCTTTACTGCTTTTTCCCCCTCCATGCTAACAGGGGTACTTCGACGAGGACAGTATGGAGGAGTTCATAGCCTCAGAGACAGAGGAGTCCTCCATGAGTTTGACCTCTGAAGATGAGAAGCCCAAAAGGTTTGAGATGAGTCCTTACTCTTCTTTGGTAACTGTCCTGTTTACTACCTGCATTATGACTTATCTGGTTCTCTAAACCCCCGTACAGAAAGAAGAAACGAGGCAAAGGGAAAGAGCAGAGCTCAGACAAGTCCGACAGCGATGACCTGGAAGTGATTAAGGAGTGGAACACCAGCTCTCGTGGAGGAAACCCTGAGGGGCGCAACAGAGCAGAGCCTGTGGAAGAGGGTATGACTGAGCTTACTGACAAAATCAACTGTACAGATCGGAGTTAAGCAGTGCTGTTGTTACTAATAGCGGTTAAAAGGATAGTTCCCCTAAAGATGGACTGTCATCATTTACTCACACTCAAGTTGTTCCAAACCTGTACGAAAGAAGATATTTTGAAGAGTGTTGGTAACCAAGCAGTTGATGGTAGCCATTGGCTTCCATAATATATACAGTGAGTGACATGCGAAAGTTTGGGAACCCCTGGCAGAATCTGTGAAAATGGGAATACAGGATGAAGATCTCCCAATTTTTCTTATTTTGCTGAAATATAATTTTTGTCCATTTAGTACTGCCCTTCGGAAGGAACAGAAGATACTTGCATGTTTCCCGGAAGACAAATTAAGTACAATTTACCTTGTGTTTGAAGCTTTTTTAATAGTTGTGTTTGAGTCCCTCAGTAGTCCTCGGTGTGAAAAGATGGGTCTCAAAATCATACAGTCACTGCTGGAAAGGGTTCAAATATGCAAAAGATGGTGGAAAACTGAAGAATCTGCAGGACACAGAGGATTTTTCTGAGGAACAGTGCTCAGTTGAACTGTTCAGAACAAACAAGGGACTCATGAACAACCATCACAAAACAAAAAAACAGTGGTAGATCATCCAGGTAACCACATCACAGATTCTGCCAGGGGTTCCCAAACTTTCGCATGTTTTTTTCTTCTCCGTACTGTGGAAGTCAATGGGGACCATCAACTGTTTGGTTACCTACATTCTTCAGCAGCCTAAATAAATCTGCTGCTGTCTGTGTCATTACGATTTAATTATACAGTGAAGACTGTCCAGTGTTATTTTACAGTTGAATTTGTTTTTTGTTTTGTTTTTTACAGTTGCGTTCAGTTTCAGTAGTAATTTTGTACCTAAATCTTACTGTTAGACCTACCTGGAAAACTTAATGTACTGTTAATTTCATTTGTGTCTTGTTATTTATTTGTTCTTATTTTATTATTTACTGTTTACTTGCCTTTTTTAGTTAAAATAAATTGAATTCTGAGTTTGAGTGCAGATGATTCTTGGGTGAAGGGGGCGTGGTCCATGGGAAACAGTCCTGCCACCACAGCTGGAAAAAATCCTAGAGGAACACTGAATGAAACGACTTTTATCTGATACCTACAGTGCAAGTCTTCTGCAAATATGGCCACAACAGTGTGTATCTGTGATGTTTTCCTCAGTTCGGGCGTCAAACTCGGGTCCTGGCAGCCCATCCCCTGACTGGTACAAAGAGTTTGTGACCGAGACAGATTCTGAGGTGCTGGAGCATTCTGGGAAAATTGTGCTTCTTTTTGAGATCCTCCGCATGGCTGAAGAATTGGAAGAAAAAGTGTGAGTTAAGTTTTGTCAGATTAGCAAACAGTTCTTCCTCCGGCTCAGAATTCATCGTCTTCCGTGTCATACGATCAGATATGTGACGGTCACGTGTCCTGTGTGCTCAGGTTGGTGTTCAGCCAGTCTCTCATTTCTCTGGACCTCATTGAAGATTTCCTGGAGTTGGCAGGCAGAGCCAAAGAGGAAGGCAAGCTTTCGCCGTACAAAGGTGAGGCACTTTTAGGAATGTTTTCCTTGAGCCTTAATCACGGTGCTTTGTAATCTTTTGGATTTTCTGTGCTAGACATTTCTGCCATTCAAAGTCTGCATGCTTTTCATAATTAATCTCTTACAAAGTGACAGGATATTGTATTCATTATTTTGTGCAGTGCATCATTTTAAATTCTTACTATGTCAGCATGAAATCAAAACTCAGACTAGTTACTTTTGTTGTACATGTTCCTGGTCTTATTGTGCGCAATGGGTCAGTCCATACTTCCAAAGAAAAACAATTTGCAAAAACTTTCAAAATGTAATGTCTTGCTCCACATCTTATACGACTTTCCATGTCATTGTCCATGTCCTTGTTTGTATTGTGTGTTTTGTTGTATGCTTATGTTTTTATTTGAATTATATTTGCTGTAAATTGAACATTGATATCAGCAAATAAGTGAGCACTAATCCAGTGAGTGCAAACTGTGGTTACATGCGGAAACTCACCTGATATTTGCGCACACATCTGACACCGATCTGGGTTAAGTGCCCGCAGAAACACACAAATATGTGCATGTAAACATAAAGCCTCTGGAATAAGGTCACGGACCCAATTAAACCCTCACAGCTGTTTTAACTTTCATTTTGAAAATGATTAGGCCTTTTTTATTTTGCAAAAAAATGTTTGCTTAAGGCTTTGCAATTTGTAATGAAAAGATCACAGAGGAATAATTGGAAACATATGAAATCTTAGTTATGAACACGAGTGTGGGAGGCCACAATATTAATTGCTGAACATGAGTTATTTGGGCTTCGCAATATGCATATCGCAACGACGTGCGATATCATTATCATTTTAATAATAGGCTACTTAAATCAAAACTTTGCAAAAGGTCAAAGTTTTCGTTCGATGCATATAGCAGAGAATTGCTTGACGTTAAAGAGTTAAGTGCAATAAGTTGCAGAAAACAACTCTTTGCCGTCTCGTCTTGCTGTCTGACTCACACCTGAAGCGCGCACACAAGCCGCATCTCGCGCAGTGTCTCTTCAGTTCTGCCCGTTTTTATCCACCTTTTTCTTCAACGCGGAAGTAAGCCTATGGGTGAGACTTCCGGTTCATTAGCCGCTATAGGTAAA